CCCCCCCCGGGGTTGACGCCGCCTCACCATTGGCACAAGCCTCCGATCACCACTCACCCGGGATTCAAAGCGCCGCAGCCCGCCGTCCTCGTCCCCTCAAAGCGCCGCTGCCTGCTGGACACCGCCGCAACCCGCCGTCCTCGTCCCCGCCGGCCGTCCTCGTCCCCGCCGCTACTGTAGCCTCCGGTTCTCTTCCCTTGATGAATACATTTATCAAGGGGAGAGAACCAGAACCACAGCAATTGCCGCTCTCAGGGAATCTGCCGCTCCAGGCAAACGCCTTGTTTGCCTCGCGGCAGATACGCCCCTGAGCACACTGGCAACCTTGGCAGTTGGTATGCCTTAAAAGTAATTGTTTTGTGAGACATTAAATTGGTGGGAAAGGTTCCTCTTTAACTGGGATGTCAATTGGATGGTTTGTCCTTTATTGCTTATATTCAGTTTATGGCATCCAGATGTTTATTCTAACACATGGCACATAACAGAAATCTCCAACCATTTTTACAAGGGCCACATGTGTTCCTTGCTTTGATGTTGCTTACATCAACCTTTCAGCATTTGTGTCTGAACAGCTATCTAAAGTCATCTAGTGACTTAAAGTAACACTAAACTCATGAATGAAATCTTAAAAATGAATTCAAGGACCCTAACTATTAACAAAAATGTTCTTTATTTGTGTATCTCTCAGCTGTAGATCCTCAAGTCATCTCTGAATTGGTGCTGACACTGTCCTTCCTTCTGGAGGGGGGCTACTTTTCTCCCCCATGGTTCCTGTGTGTGTTGTAGAGTAGCCACTGCTCCAAGCTCACTCCAATGATGGACAATAATCGTTTAGTTAGCTAGTTTGTATTGAGATTGTAGTCCATCACGGTAGCAAACATGGAGTTATAGGAGCTATTCATTTGCATTTTGTTATTATTTAGCTGGAGTACTGCATTCATTTATTTATTACTGTTTTGTTTTTTTATTATTATCTCAGCATCCTTTTATACAGAGAAGTACATGGGACTTCCAACAAAATCTGACAACCTTGAAAATTATAAGGTAAAATATATATTTCTAATGGAACCCCAAACACATTTTCTGAGTGAGGACCACTATCAGTTTTTTTCATTGCTGTCTCTCTTGTGTTGTAGTCATAATTTGATCTTTGATTTTTAAAAATCATTAAAACAGGCCAACGCATTTTGGAGGACTTAGATATCCCCTTCTTCAGGGTTTCAGTATGGAAAGCAGCTAAATCCCACTGTGCGTTTTTAAATAGTTATATGTATGAGCTTGACAGCGGGCAGTAAATACGGTTGTAACAGTTAGGCTGCTGTACCATTTTACATTATTTAACCATCATGAATGTAAACTATGTGGAGCACTACTCTGGGGCTTAGTATGCAGAGTATAATTAAAGGGCATCTTAAGCTAGAACTTTTTTTGTTTTTGTCATCTGTGTCCCATTGGGGAGATTTACCTGCACTTCATGTCTTGTAGACACATCAGAAAGGAAGGGGATATTTCTACAAAAGGGAGGGAAATTCTCTTTTAGACATTTGTTTTCACAGCAAGTGTCCCCATTGGAAGACTTCCTCTCCATACCTGTTGTAGTGATAACTCAAACGTTTGGGTTTTCTTTCCTCACTTTCATTCCCAGGGATAATAGCCACTTTGACCAGTAAACATGGTGAATTTCATGCCGACAGCATAAAACCTAAGGCAGTCGATAATCCTTCGTACTCTATTCACAAAAAAAAAAATGGCTTTGGATACACTTTGAAGTGACACTAAACTCAGGAGTTACATTTTAAATGCATTTAAGTACCTTAACCATTAACACAAATGTATCTTATTTGTGTATCACTCAGCTGTAGATCTTCAAATCATCTGAGTTGGTGCTGACACTGTCCTTCCTTCTGGAGGGTGACTACTTTTGTTCCCCATGGTTCCTATGTGTGTTTTAAAGAAGCCACCACTCCAAGCTCAATCCCATGATGAACTACAATCTCAATACAAATTTGTAAACTAAACATGAGATTGTAGTCCATCTCTGGAGTGAATGTAGAGTGGTGGCTACTTTACAACACACACAAAGACCATGGGGAAAAAAAGTAGCCACCACGACGTCAAAACACTAAATAACGGTTAATCTGGTCAAATCAATTCCACATTTTCTTTAGTTTTGGAATGTAGTTGTAGTGAGTGACTGTAGGATGAACTTCGTTAAGTGACCTAGACAAGGAAATAGTCTGCAATGCTCTCATCTACTGTTTTCAGAAAGTAGCTAGAGTATAGACAGAGTGTTAGCATCGTAGACATGCGCAACAGTCAATGCCGTCATTAAGGACAAGCTTTTTTTTATTATCCTTGCATCAGGAAGCACATCTAATGAATCACCTCTTCTTTCTTTTCAGAATTCAACTGTGATGTCCCGAATAGAGAATTTCAGGAAAGTAGATTACCTGCTCATTCATGGCACGGCAGATGGTAGGTGATATCATAGACCAATCTACTGTGCAAACACCTAGTTCTAACATGAGTAGAAAACTGTTTGATCAGTAATAAGCACACTACTTAGTTTGTGATAGAGCCCAGGACATAAAAGTGTTTGTGTTACAGAGATGCTCAAGCTATTATTTTTATCAATAGGAAGTGAAGTCCATCAATTCTAGTTAATGCATTATAGCTTGACTGTCAAATATTGAACCAGATTCCACAGATACACTCATCGGTCTTATTTGTATATGTGTTTTATCATAGATAACGTGCATTTTCAACAATCCGCTCAGATTTCCAAAGCTCTGGTGGATGCCCAGGTGGAATTTGAAGCAATGGTAAAGATTAATTTTACAAGCAATATATTAAGTCTGACTACGTACTATAATTACAATATATATGTTTATATATGTATACATCCAATCCCTTTACCTGATCACCCAGGAAGAGCCCAGAGCACCTACAAGATCAGGTTGGGTTTTTGGAAAGGGGTGTCTGTGCTCTTTTTTGGACTCACCCCTACATTTTGAAACCACAGCCTGATGCTCATGGTCATACAGTCTTGTGTGACTATAGCAGGGAGCTTGCATCCTTGTGGTTCCTCTGCTGTGCTAATACCAGCTTGTATCCATGGTGTGTCAGGCTGGTATCCTTGGGGATATAATTTTTTTAAATGTTAGAGAAGAAAAAAAATATTAAATGGCAAAACCTGAACTTACAAGCAGAGTTGCAGGAGCAGATTAGGCAAACATTGATGGTAACAAAATTGTGTGTTTATAAAGGCCCCCCTGAACCCCTGACACTCTTGACGGCAGCGCTCCCCCGCTGCTTCTGCCTCTACTGCAGTCCATGCTTCTGGGAATGGGGGAGCATATGACTTCCTTTCTTGTGACAGTGCAAAGGTCTAGCAGCCAACGTGTAGGCCCAAGCACTGTCACATGACTGATCGAGTGACATCATCATTCCCCTTAGCACCCAACAGAAGCCAATATGTGATTCTAGGAAGACAGAGGAACTGTAGGGGATCACTGGCAAAATGAGTATCATAACTTTGGGGGGGGGGGGTTGGGTTATGCACATATATTCTAATTTTTTAACTTTGCACTGAATGGGCAAGGTGACAGTTTCTTTTTTCAAAAAAGGGGAAACTCCCTTTAAATTTGTAACAAAAATACATTTCTCATGCACAATCAC